AATTAGAAGCAGTAGGATACTTTTGCACGTTACTGTATTTCAAGCTCTACTACAACCAGAATCAGATAATCTATATTTAACAAATTTGAGCTGCCGCGATCCAGCTACTTTCTTCGTCAAATTCGATGCAACTAATTGAAACATTCTTGTTGGCGCTTTGTTGTTTTTTTTTTAACTATTATAAGTATTTTTCCGTTAAATTAAACATTTAATTCGACAGAAAATTTCTGATTTTTTTAAACAAATCGTTGTAAATGGTTTTTTGCAAACTTTGCACGTATTGTAATGATTTTACGGAAACGGTTAAATTATTGACTCGATTACATTTTATTTTTATTAAACATTGTGTACAAACTTTCTATATACCTTTTTTTTTATTATTTTAAACGTTCCACGTCAGAGAACAGATACAATGAATTAGGACTAGTTTATTAATGCGTATACACAAAAAGTCTTTATGACAAACACAATTTTCTATATCGTTACTTTATATTTGATCAAGCTGGAAAAAACAAATTGACGTTGACAGACGCGTACGTGAGTTGAATATTGCCGACGGTATTCTACACAGTTGTATACATGCACACAAAAATTGAAACTTTTTGCTGCTTGCACATCGAAGAGCATGATTGTTTATACCCCTGATTGTTTTCTCATTGACGTTGCATGTAAAAAAAAAATCAATCGACGCATTTTGGCGGGGGTGCTTTTTCTCACCAATAAATCGAAATAAAAATTATAATATTTGTTTATTCCCCCATATCGATTGAGAATTGCATATTTGCAATTATAATATCAGAATATTGTTATCACAATTTGGATGCGTTGCGTGCGGGAAGTATAAAGCATTCGACTCAATTATGAAATAGACTTGACGTCATATACTGTACATCAGAAAGCAAAAAACTTTTTGTCTTTACGGAACGATCGTAGCTTGATTTAAGGACTCTACTACAACATTTGCGTTTACAGTCTACTTCTTAGCAATATATAAAGTTATTAGCTTTTGGTTCGTATAAGCAATAACTGTTAGGATTGACAGCTTTTCCATAGACAATGGGGCAACACTCAAAAATGTCGGTGCAATCCAGTTAATAAAAACTTTAGGAAAACATGATCTAGTAGACTTCGAGTGTGAACTCTAATATATATATTTTTTATACAATACACGTAGTGACGTCAATTCAACCAAACAATTACTGTAATTTTATTAGATTACCTAAAATAACATTTTACTTCTCATTAAAGTAAGTAAGATTGTAGTAGTAGAAGTTTATTACTGAATAAATAGTAGAAACACGTCAATATTATTTAGCATCAACGCTCATAGCCCGCCACAAACTTAGATATTGTATATAATAGTGTGAGTCGGATGTTAGTAGTTTGACTACTCGTCATCAGCGGTTTGCATAAGTACGTATATGCAATATCGACTTCGATGTCAAGTATAAGCCTGGTTCTAATGCCGATTGGAGCAACTGGCGTTACTTCAGATTAAATTCTTCTATGTAAAAACCAAATAATTTTTCCAACACATTGCAGAAATTGCCCCCTGACATCGACACTTAATATTTAAATTAATGCATAAACGACGTCTCGTTAGACTTTGGTTGTCTTAAAACTTGGTTAGCTTATTACAAGCGATTCATTGTTCAAACTAATAGTTCGAACAGATCGGGTAATAAATGCAATTTTACTCTAAGTTTCCTGGAACGATTATTATGAAGGAGCATATTATCAATAAATATATATATAGTGATTACGGAACTGTAAAATTTAACATAATATATTATTAATTCGTTTGATATGACAATGAATAAGTAGTATTAAAGCAACACAATGAAAAGTTGACGCTCCAACTAACTCCTTAAAAACTTAAGAAAACTGTTGCTTTTTAAATGCCTAAAACTCGCAACTTTGATTAAAAATCTTAAACCGTAACTTTTGTTCTGTTTTCTTTTGCTCTATTATCCTTACGGATTAGTTTTTTCTAAACTTTCTAATATAAAAGCCTTAGGGGTTTGAAAGTTGGTTATTTTATTTCGGGCTATAGATGTCTCGTACCATAGTCAATCGAAAAATAATCCTTGTATATTGTAGGTAGGTTACACGTAAATGTAAATGTAAAGCTTTCGCGTTTGTTGTTATCTGTCAATTGTTTATTTTACAAGCAAATGGCATCTCGATCAGAACTAATTAAAGATCAACTTAACTTACAGTCTCAACATCTAAGAAATGTGCTTTAATGAGATTGGTTTCCATGGTCGAGTGGGATTGAGAAAGCCACTTGTAAACAAAAAAAATCAAGTTAAGCGATTAAATTGAGCTAATACTAAGGAAAGACAAAAATGGAAAAATGAGTGGAATAACTATAACGTTGTATGGAGTGATGAGTCAAAATTTGAACTTTTTAGAGATGATGGTAGGAGATGGGTATGGAGAAAACCTCATGAAAAATATGATGTAAAATGTCTCATACCAACTACAAAGACTGGACAGGACGGGGTAATGGTATGGGGATGCTTCACTGAACATGGTCTTGGTCCTTTAGTGAGGTTATATAGAAAGATAATAATAACAGCTAAGGATTATATAGCTGTTTTACATAACCACTTGAAAATAAGGAAAATGTAGTTAGTTTTTCAAGAGGACAATGCTCCCATCCATACTGCAACAAATGGAAAGATGAAAACAATGCAATATGTCTTGCTTGAAAGAAGGGGTTCAGTCCTGTACCTGTAAGCCTTTATATTTACCAGAAAACAATGAAGACTTATGGCAGACATTCCAGAAAGAATGATACAACATTGGTGCCAGTGTTTACCAAAATCTTGTGGATGGTATGCCACGTCATATTGCTGCAGTCATCAAAGTAAAGGCAACCCCTACCAAGTGCTAATCATACATACTGTATATTTCTAATAAAATATCGCGTTTATTTCTCCATCATTTCTCATCCGAATTGAATGAAACCTTGAACATATTAATATGTATTTCAAAATGTTCTAAACACATTTTGTTAGCGCCGTATTTGAGTTTAACATAGTTGATTTCGACTTTGCAAATGATCGAATGTAGAAGACAAAATCAGCGAAATTGTTAGACTGACTTCAATCATTTGGTCAAGCAGAGAAAATAAATGTTAATCAATATAAGTTACAACCTATACGTAAATTGATATTGCGAGCGAGCAAGTTTAATTAGTGCATAAAGTGCAATTACGTTTACATGTGTGCGAATTTGACGTATAATTTACCAAAATTTTTTGTTACCCGGTCATTTTTTTGAATTTACATATGACATAATACATATTTATTACATTAATATTTAAAAATGTTTGTTAATACAAGCAACTTTATTTAACAAAATATTACAATGTAGAATATGTAACTGCAATAATTGTCCGAATACATATTAAGTATAAGATGTTCTTTCTCAGATTGTAATAAGTCCATATCCAGATCAAATTCTGGGTTGAGAGAATTTAGACTGCAGTTTTACTTATTGTGAGATTCGAATTCATGTCAGATCTGACACAACAATTATAGGTGTTCCAGTTTCAATTGTGTTGTTTACCATTTTTTTCTATGATGACATCTGAGACTGATGTTTGATTGTCCTCATCAACTACTCTGCTGCATATTCTTCTTCATCAGGAGCATATACACAATGCATTTCCTAACTGAATTATGAATATGAATACTGCTTCATGTGGTGTATGGTTATGTGCTTGATGGACAGTTATTAATTGCAAATGCATCAATATCCAATCCTTTCTATTCACAGCAAGCTTAGTAAAGCCATGCATGGCCAATAATCTGGCAAGGATTATAAGCCCAGTAACAAATTCCTTGCTATTGTCACATTAAAGAATGTCTGGTGGGACCAAATTTTGAATGTCCTTTACAAGGTAGGTCACAACAATTGTTATTTCCTTGTAATGAGAATTTGGTAAAGTATGGGTGCAGCTTAAAAACTATGCAAACCATTATTTTGTTCAGAAAGCCTATGGAAGTTTATTAATAAGGTCAATTTGAACATGTTTCCATGGTGCAGTTGATATGGTGTCATATCTGTTTTCTCTTTGATAGAAGCATTAATATTAAGTGCACAGGCAGTGCATTGTTAATATATTGCACTTTCTTCTCTGTGTGATGCTGAGTAAGTCTTATGATAATATGATAGCTTGCTTGTTCTGAAAGTTAAAGTGTTCCAATCTTCATTTGGGTAGATCATTGTACATTGTCATATTTATATTGTCCTGAACAGTTGGGACATAGAAAACATCCTCAACTCAAATTTTCTACATATTAGATTTGGCTATATTAAACTGCATTTATATTTAGTTGTTGTCATACGTGAAACCACTCAAACACAATTCATATATTAATATATTTCCGTACAACTATTAATAATATCGCAGGTAGTGACAAATGTTAGATGGTTGCAATTTTCCCACTAGCATGACAAAAAATCATTTGTGTATATGTATTGATTCACAATTGTGCCAGCATTAGTCTGTAGGTTAAAAATGACAACCAGTATATGGCGTAGGATATCCAAATACAAATAGATAATGTTGTTACGACACATAATAATAACCGTACGGCATATTTTAATCCTCTTAGAGAATCAAACAATGAATCCATAATAAGAATAGTAATGGTTTATCAAGATGGCTGAGTGATGCATGATTATGAGATTATAATCTTTATACTATTATGCTTACAAATCCGGGCTTCGTTATCATCGCATCTCCCAAATTGAATCACAGAATACACGTGATTTGTTTATTAAAGACCTCTTCGTTCTGTTCACCTTTGAGTGTAACAATAATTGCATGAACACAAGAACTATCTTTTGTATTTTTCCTTTTTATATATCTCTTGCAATGGAAGCCGATATAGTAAAAATACAAAAAAGCCAGATGTACTTAATAACCTTGATAAAGGTCTTTCCAACAGTTCAACATTCTTATCCATTCTGTCAATTTGTTAACAATGCCTTCGCTTAACGTTGATCTTCTTAATTCGGCACTGTCTGCCATGATGGGAACCCATAAATTCGTATCAGAGAAGGAATTTCGGGAACAAGACCAATACTATGCTTCTTATGAGCAAGTCGACTTGAACTCGTTCCATCAAGCTAACCGTGTCGGCGATGATGTCGACTCAATAGTCAAGTGAAGTTTTTCGTCAGTGCCGGTAAAGTCTAGGAATGACAAATCCTCCAAACATGCAGCCAGACAAAGCATATATCAGCAAGTCGACTTGGGCTCGCTTCATCAAGTTAACCTTGTCGGTGGTGATGTCGGCTCCACTATCAACAAACGAAGTGTTTCTCATACCCACAATGTGCCAGAAATCAGACGAGGAATGCAGATTTTCGTTAAAACCCTTACTGGGAGAACTCTAACTTTGGAATGCCAAGCAAGTGATACCATAGACAAGGTAAAAGAATTAATTCAGAACGTAGATGGCAGTGAGCCATATCAACAGAGGCTTATTTTTGCAGGCAAACAACTGGAAGATGGCCGCATGCTTGAAAGTTATAACATTCAGAAAGAGAGCACATTACATATGGTTCTACGTCTTCGTGGTGGTGGTGGATGCATCATCAGTTATTTACCCTCAAGTGCTTTGGACCTGAGCTACGATTATGATTTCACACACATTAAAGATATTGGATTGACTTATACGCGAGGAAAGGTTCCGTATCGAAGACCGTGCGGATGGCAACGTTTTGCTTTAAAGGTCAATGGAAGATTTGATAATGGGGATAATACTTGGCTTGGTACTGATGATAATGCTTGGCCAGTGTCTTATCACGGAACTGCTAAATATAATGCAAGATCAATTTCTGAAGAAGGATACTTGTTGAGCAAGGGAAAACGTTTCGCTTTTGGGCACGGTATTTATTCAACACCTGATGTTCGTGTAGCCGAACGTTATGCAACGGAATTTGAGTTTGCCGGAAGGACATACGTGATAGTAATTCAAAATCGAGTAAATCCAAAAGGTTTGGTCAAGATTGCGGCGACTAGAACTGGGGATGGCGAATATTGGATTTCCAAGGAAGGGCAAGATGTTAGGCCATACGGAATCTGTATAAAAGAAAAGAGGATTTCAACATATTCTGGATTCTGACAATAGTGATAATTATGTTCATCATGTGCACGGTAAAAATCAATTATTTCTGTATATCACTTGTACTCATTCGACATTGATTTACTGTATGAAATTATTATAAATTACTAAAGATTGTTGGTTTAAAATAAGATATTAAATTTCATATACTTCATTCGTTACAGTTACGCATTCATTGTCATACTTGTATCGGTATTGTACACTCACTGGACAAAAGTCTACGTAATTTTTGTCGATCACATAGTAAAACATATGAAAAATCTATTTTTTCG